AAGATGTAAGAGACAAACACAAAGGTAAAAAAAGGTGAGGCGAGTACTATGCAAATAGTCGAACATGGCATAGAATGAGGTGGTGGTAGTTTGAAGTGAGAAGTCAACTGCCAATTAATAGACTTTTTTGCCGTATGAATATACGTTGCCCGGGGTGCACCACGTGGAGGTAAGTCTACCGCACACCCCTAGTTACAAAGTTAATACTCTCAAATATCAACAATATATTCTTTTATCAAATGGGGTGTGCGATAGACTTACCTCCACGTGGTGCACCCTGGGCAACGTAAATTCATACGGCAAAAAAGTCTATTAACTGGCAGTTGACTTCTCACTTCAAACTACCATCACCCCATTGTATGTCATATTCAACTACTTTCACAGTACTCACCTCACCTTTTTCTACCTTCGTCTTTAAAGCACTGTTCCCCCCCCCCTCTCGACTTTTTTTCCCACTTTGATGTTCCTTCCCCTATGTGAAGACTGAAGTCAACTAAAGGGCTAATGATAAACATCAAGACGCCTGCCATTTGATATAAATAAATAAATTCTTTTATCAACTGAGCACAGTTGTTATATTATAAGGGTTATGGAATAATTTAAAAATGTTATATGATCGAGTCAGACAAATAAGATTATAGCTTACTCAACAGAAGATATTTTTGCAATTAAGAAAGCTCTAATTTGTTTAGAAATGGATAAAATTAGGTGTGGGCACCCATAGGTATAGGGAAGATTAGAATTTATATGAAATGTACTTTGTAGGCAACAAAATAGCCATATTTTATTTCGATAGTATTATATATTTACTGTATTCAAAGGAAAACGAATGAAAGCAACGTTGAACAACGATCGGTAGGGTGTATCATTATATTGGCTTGTCTTAAATAACGTGTTTAACAAGTACATGAAGACATGAAACATAAGTAGCATTAATTCATTGTTCAAGAAATCTTAAGAGCGTAAATATTCAAAGATAAATTCAAAGCATTTATACTTGGCTTTTTAAAGTGAATTCTATAAGAATTAAATTTCTTGAAATCTTACAAATTATAATAAGGCTGTTTGTAGCACCTTCGTCCTCAAAGTAGAATCTCAACTGAAATTTTTAAAAATGTTTTTAATACATTATTAAATAAAAGTTATCGAATCATTTGATGCTAATATTGTCAAAATCAGAAAATATGAAACATAGTTGTTTTATAAGCTTAAGTAATGAAACTTCTAACTCCGCCGTAGTTGAGATATTTTCATCAAGGTAGTACCGCACTGGTATCGGTTTATAACCTAACTGCATTTCTTTTATCTTTTTGTATTAAGCATGATTTTAAGGAGCACTAAAATTTTGTGTCTTTACACAGGCGAAAATATTTGTAGTGTTTTTATAGACCTATTGATGATAGCAGATATTATTATTTTATTTTTATTTTAGATTCGTTTTGTATGCAATTATTTTAAACTGTATATATTCATCTTTATTTTGTATCGTCTATGGAATTAAATGATATTGTATCTGAAGTTATTACCAAGTGTAATATTGTTGAACAACAAACCATTTTAAATGAAGAAAAATCGCACTCGTGCAATGAATCTCTCTGTTCTGAAAATCTTGATATCAAGAGTTTCGACGAAAAAGATAATGAATTACAACTAAATGGCCATCGATTTTCTGCTTTGCTCTGTGATGATTTTAAAAATCAAAACGAAGTATTTACCAAATCGGTAGATTCAAACTCCTTGGTAGATGTGTCGGATGAGAACTATGAATTTCTCAAATCGAATAATCTGATAACACAACGTGCTAATAATGTTGCACAAAATGATTGCAACACTAGTGAATCCGTTGCGACACAATCTACGCATAGTTCACATGCTGATGAGTCTGATGATCCTTCTGTGAGGCAGTCTAATGCTTTTGATCAAAATAACTCATTATCAGAGTATCCTACAAGACAGCAAAATGGTGAGACAGATCAAATTAGAATTGTGGAAAATTTAAAAGAAATAACAGATCCTAACAAATTATGTCCTGAAATTTCCGAGGAATATGAATCTTCTTTGTTGGAAAATAAGGGAGAACGCACTCAAACCAGTTCTGCTTCGAATAAATCTAATGAACATTCCCCGAAAATCTCTCTTGTTGATTCGCCTTCATTTTCAAATTTTTCGAAATTTGATGAATCTTGTGGGAATGTCAACATTAATGATGAGAAGAATTCCGCAATTCTTCAATCGATTCAAAGCGGGGAAGACTCAGAAGATTCAAAACCGGATATTCCTGAATCTCCAGATACAGATTCAGCCTCAAACAAATCATCAGTTGTAGATTTAGAGCCCTTGAGTGAAATTGATTTCCTTCGAAATAAAGTAAGTGATCTAACTGAAAAGTTACTACGATCACAAGAACAAATGGAAACCTTGTTGGAAGAGAAGCAGAAGTGGTTGTCAACTCGTCCATTGCCGCAACAGAAGGTGCCACCATCGAATCAGAAAAACAATGTTTCATCTGATATGGCTGCTTTTGTTGTTAAGTTTGCTCAGGTACTATATCCTCATTGAGCTTTTGAATTCGCATATGCTAAGTAGTTAAAATTGTATTCTTCTATACATATCTAGTCAGAGCAACAACGAATGAAAGCCGAGAATAGAATACAGGAGTTAGAAGCGATGATTTCTCGAACAATGCCCATTGAATTGAATTCATCTTTTTCTGCTGACAAGTCTGGGCCAATGACTGAATTAAATAAGGTATCATCAAAATTTCCTTGGTACATACTCAATTATAAATGTTTTGATATTAAATGCACTTCCTGGTCTAAATGTGCCATCGTTATGCTTCACTTTCTTGGCCCCCAACTATTAAAAAACAATCATTATTATTATTATTCAATTTATGAGGCAGTTACGGGTTAGGTGATTGAATGGCCTATTGATTCAAATCTACACTATGATCACTTTGATTTTGTACTCAGTGTTCGCTGTCCCCATTCCCTTAACAGTAGTCCTTGAGTATTAGTTTTCGTATGAGGCAACGCTAAGTTATTGACCTGGTATTAAGATATCCCCTAGCAGGGTCTAATTGTTTTACTTTTGCAAATTGTAAGAAAAAACCTTTCACTGTATTGTGTAAATATTCGAAAGTTCAATGTTCATGCCTCGGGTTTCTGGAAGTGTTCGTATCTATGATAATGTGAATATACTAAATATGCATGTGGTACTTCTCAGAGTGCCACTATCCTCTTAAAATTAACATGATGATGTTTAGAATGTTATTAAATCGTATGAACTACAAAACTATTTCTACAAATGAGGTTACCTTATACAGGTGTATAGTTTTTTTAGCTAAGTTAAATATGGTATGATTTTTGACGTTTATTTTTAATACAGAATGAACAAGGTCCATGTACTCACATTTCGAAAATTATGCTAATTAAGCTTATTTTTCGTATTTCGAGTCCTTAGTGAGTGTAGTCAAGCTTCATATTACAATACAAAACTAGGTCATTAATGCCCTCGATTTTAAGAGAACTAGCTCACTGTCATCTTACAAAAAAATTTTGATCAGTTTAAGAGGTTTTACCCATTGATAATACTTTATCACGCCCTTGGATAGAAAAAAACAGGTCATAATAGATCATATTCCAAAAATTCCTGTCTACGAGCCCTAATAAATTGGGTTGGTCATACCTTATTCTGCTCTAATAAGCTTCGGGTATTCATACGTGCATTTTTTATTAATGATGATTTACCACAGGGTGATTATAATATATTGACCGTTGTTTTCACTAATAGGTAAGCGATGCAAAAGTGATAGGAGTTATAAAATTAGACCAACATATACGTGCTCAAAGTTGAGATCACATTTTAATTGCCTTTCTCTGTCCCTACCTGTTTATAGAGTCGTATTTCGCAATTGAAATTTCAGTTCTTGTCATTTCGCATTCAGTACGCATCCATCATTACTTAACCTGTCTAGTTATTTATCGTCGACATAATGATTTCAACATATATTTGGCTGTACGATTCATGTTCCCCCTGAAGAAAAATATTTTTTAATACTTAGATGAAGAAAAATTGTCAAGCTTCGAATAGAAGATGAGAGTGAGAGAGGGAGATGGTTATAAGATGGTTGGATAGGTCATTTCCTTCTCTGTACTGATAGACCTCCAGATTTATGTTGTTTGACATGATAGAAAATTAATAAACTAATTTTGGGGTATAGGGTGCGTTGTTTATGACTGCTCTAGGAGTAACTCTTATTTAGACACTTTGTAGGCCAATGCGATTGAACATCTCTAATATATTCATAATTTTATGTTTAGAAGCAATTACTATGGCACTGCAAATCCGTATCTATTTATTATATGTGGGTATTTCTTTAGGCTCTGTCAGAGGCCAGAGAACGGGCTGAGAATCTGCGGCATTCTTTAAAGCAAGAACAGGCGCGAGTAAGCGATTTGAATTCGAAATTGACTGCAACTCGTGAGGCACATCGAAGTGAACAGAAGAGAGCTGCTGGACAAGTGGAAGTTATCAATAAACTCTCTCGGGATGTTGATCAGCTCAAAAGGCAGCTTAAAGTAACAGCTTGCTAACTAATTAGTTTGTATTACTTATGAGATTTAAGTAGTATAGATATCTTATTTTCTAGGATATGGAAAAAATCCGTGAGCGTGAAGCCAAACGCCTTTGTGACGAGATGACTCTTCAAGAGACAACAGAGAAGTACAAAAAAGCCTTGACCGAAATCACAAACCTGAAGGATCGCATTTCTGAATTGGAAAAAGTCCAAGAGTCAAAAGCTGAGCTTGAAACTGAATACGAAGAGTAAATTTATTTGTTACTTAAATCGAAGCCTGTTTGCTATTTTTTTTAACTGAATGGGATATAAGTATTCGGTTCATTTTTGAGCGTTATATCGCTGAAAGGTCCAATTCAGCATTTTTATATCCCTTGTAGTTGGTAGATTGTTGCATATAATTCGTCTAACAGACGATGTATTAACGACCACGTTATTTTTATTAGTTAATCCGTAGGATTTGGCTACGCTCAGTAAGATGTGGTTGGAGACAACTTGAATTACACTGAGAATTCTTCTTTAAAATTAAATCATACTTAATTTGATTATGCTTTTTGCTCTCAAATGATGCCGTAGCCCTGAACTCAGTAGAATAAGGGTCATAAGATTTTCTGAACTTTGCAACAAATCTCCATAGTGATCATTTTTCATGCGAATGATTGTTGAAGGTCAAACCATCGTTGTTTATTCCTATCATATTTTAGTGTCTAGATTTCAGGAGCAGAATTAGCTCTCTCATCGCACCATTGCAAGAAATGAATTGACGCCCTAACAAGCGGTAATTACGATATCGATTTTCCCTCTGAAAAGAAGTCTCTAAATGGTGCCCTCGATATTTCATAGTTATTGTTCATTGTAAACTCTTAATTTCATTTTAACTTTACGAAAATATGTGGTGTTACTTACAGAACTAACGCGATGGGGGGGGGTGAATCTTTAGTAGAATAACATGTGGAGTATTTGTTGAATTCTTATTTTACTATCCAATTGTATGCTGTCACATTTTTTCCACAAAATTCCACTTTTTATCTGCTTGCCACCCAACCCATTTCACGTATTTCAATTCACATATAGACTATAATTTTTTTCGATCGATATAAAATTAGGAGGATACTGGGCGTGTGACTTATTTTTCGTTCTTCTATTTCCGACAAAATTAACTAAAATGGAAGAATGGAATGACGATATTCTCCATTCTTTGCTACTAGGCTTAAACGGGCCCACGACAATCTAGTCTCAGTGCGAGATGAGATGACCAGATGTGTGGAGCGTGAAACTCAGCTCTCTGAATTTACTCGTCGCCTAACAGAACGCACTGCTGGTCTCCAATCAGCACACTTGGCAGCTCAAGAGCGATTGGCTGCGAGCGAGAAAGCTGTTTCAGAGGCCTCTCGCGCTGCTAATGAAGCTACAGAACTCCTCCAAGCCACAGAAGCTCGGGCTCGAAACGAACGCGCTGAGGCTGCTGCTACCATCGAGCAACTTGAAGCGAAGGTGTCTATTTGTTTTTGAAATTATTGATTATTGTTGTACTAACGGCAGCTTCAGTGACGTAAAGTTTGATCTAGATGGTCCGAGATTACTCATTTACTTAGTATACCAATTGTACCAGTATTGGCTGCCCAATAGAGGGGTTAGCAAAATGTTGATTTATCATTTGAGCAGCTTTCCAAATAGCGAGATTCTGGGGTGACATTTGCTCAAGATGGTGTGCATAGATCTCCTCAAATGAGTAAGGCTGAAATAACTTGAAATTTCAGATTCCAGTATTAATAACAGTTTACCTTAATGCAGTTCACTATTTTCCCTTTGATAGTATAAAACCCATATTTTGTGGCGTTCAACGTCTCTTCCGTCTTCAAATTTTCGGGTGCATTTTTACCATTTAAATTTTGCAGTAAAACTGTAGATAGGTCTTTCAGAATCATTATTAATTCCTTGTAGATTTCCAAGTTGACAGAATCCGAAGCTTTCCTGAAGTCTGAATTGACACGGGAAAAGGTTGAAAAGGCCGCCCTTAAACGCAAACAACATGGTCTTGATCGTGAGTTAGCACGCCTTATGACTCAGCAACGAAAGCTATCCATTCAAGAACTCCGTCAGCAGTCTTCACAGAAATTAGACAACATGTCAGAGAAAACATCCATGGGTTCAAATCTCAGTCTTTCTGTTGTTCCTGATGAGAAAATACCACCTTTTCCGGATTCTTGTCATACCCCTGAAGCTGTAAGATCCCTGCTCCTCGAGTTAATATATCCGTCATTATGGTCGATTGTGCTGTGTATTTTATTTTACAGGTTCAAAATTCTACTCAAGCCCCACCTCTCGGCGATGCTCTAGTTTCGTCGACGGAAAATACAAGATTAGCTTCTCTCCCCGATGAGACGTCTTCCATATTCTCTCCTGAGGTGCAAACTCGGGAGCCAAATAGGAATCTTCTATTAAATAAAATTGATCGACTTCAGAAGACTAATATGCGGCTGATGGATAAAATTGATTTTATGCATGAGCATATTGGCCAGTTAACACATGAGTTGCAAAAGAAAACGAAAATTTTACAGGTAATTTAAAGGTCGAGTTTTGAACTTTACTTTGTCTTTTACCACACTCAATACGATGAAACAAACTACTTTTCTACGTTAGCCTTTTTTGAAAACTCCATTCTATTTGCAATGCTCATTTGTGCTTTGTTTAATAATTTTTTCGAACTGACTTTCAGTAATTCGTTTTCCTTATTAACATTGCAACCTCAAACGTACTTTTGTAAGGTTAAAGTACACCACGTAGATTGAATTTACTTACTAGAAGCATAACCCGTCGTGTATGCGGGTTGGATTCCATACGCAAATTATTGTTTTTTTAATGTAAAGAGTAGGTAGAGGCAATTCGTTAGTTGTTTTTTGTTCCACTACTTCTTAGTTTGGGAGAAAAGCCTTGTTATTTCATTTGCTCTCGTGTTGGTATATTACTGCGTGTTCTTGTTTATGGTTAATATGTGTTTATCTGATTTCTTTCATCCTCCTAAGTGTTTTACTGGATTTTGAACTCGAGGTGTTTTTAAGCCTGTATGCAATGCATGTAATAAGGGCAGTTCATTCTATTAGTTCATTTTTTAAGAAATTTTCCGCCTTGGATTGATCAATCAAGTTTTAAATACTAGTAAATCCGTATATTTTGCATAGGTAGCTTGTTAAACTTTGAAGTCCTCTAGGGATCACCAATATCCAACATGACTTATACTTCTTAATAGCATATGACCATCTCGTTTGCGATGATGAGTATCGGTTCTCATTGTGTTATATCCTTTACTTGACAACATATCGCAATTGTTCATCTTCCCTTCTTTCCCAGAATTGTCTTTCTCGAGAAGCGGAGAATGAGGGAGCAGCAGTGCCCACCGCTGTGGACGCAAACAAACGACAGAGAATACGAAGAGGTGGCACTTTGATGGCTGCGGTATTTTCTGGTGATGCTTCCGCGCCAGCCTCTGACCTACGCACCTCTCTTCAACTCAATAACAAACTTCAGTCGGTGCTTGAAGATACTCTCTACAAGAATCTCACTCTTAAGGTAAACATGGATTATTCATTATTCACTGTAAACATGAAATGGCAAGGACAAGAATACCAACAACTATGTGAATTCTGGTAGGGCTGGTTCGGACAGTGAGTTCGTATTTTCAAATGTATTAAATGGTAATTAGAAGTTGGGTTTATCGTTGATCTAATTTAGAATCAGATTAAAACGAGAGGTGAATGATAGGAGAAAAAGGGCAGCAATGACCAGAGGCTGATTATGAAATCTAAAATTTCGTCCCAATTTACTTGAAATTGAAATTTATTAAGGGTTGCAAGGTTATTTATATCAAATGGCAGGCGTTTGATTGTTATCATTAACCCTTTAGTTGACTTCAGGCTTCACAGAGGGGAAGGAACATCAAATTGAAAAAAGTCGATGGGGGGAATGAGGAAGAGTGTTTCAAAGATGTAAAAGAGACAGACACAAAGGTAGAGAAAAGGTGGGATGAGTACAGTGGAAGTAGTCGAATATGACATACAGTGGGGGTGATGGTAGTTTGAAGTGAGAAGTCAACTGCCGGTTAATAGACTTTTTTGCCGTATGAGAATACGTTGCCCAGGGTGCACCACGTGGAGGTAAGTCTATCGCGCACCCCAGGGTTGCAAGGTAGGAGGAAGAGAGTTGCAGTGGCGAAATATCTACATTTGAGGAGAATAGAGAAAGCAGCAACCTCGCTTCCAATATGCAGAAAATACGACTAAACAGTAGAGTAGTGCACTGTAAGTGATAATATTGGTACTATTAACACCAATAAGGTATCATATGCTAACTCTAATAATATACTATTACAGTTAAACTTGACTAAGCTGCTTATTAACTCTTGACAAATTAAAGGAATCTTAGCTTTTGAAGAAGTAATACGATTGAGGTGGTTTGCCAACTATCTAACCTAACGAGTTGATTAATAAATTCTTGACACCTCAAACATAACTTCGCTCAAAAACTGAAATCTGGATGAAGGCATATGAAGCTATTCTTAGATACTTAAAGATGTCCAACATAACAACATTTCAGTTTTGTCATACTTTCGATATCTTGAATTTCTACATTTGATCAATCCTTTAACCCATATTGGACTTGGTTCAGATGCTTCCACAGAATGAGAGAAATCAATAAACAATGTCGAATGCCCTCATATTATAATTGCCCAACAATTTACTTTTCGGTCCATAAGATAGTTATGAAAATCGCAAATGCGCTTTTATATGGTAGGCAACAGAGCTTATCATTCAATGAACTTGTTGTAAAAATTCCCATGTCGCTCACTCTTCAACCCAACGTCATGTGATTCCGCTAACAATTTTCTTCCATATTAGATATAGAATCACGTGATTTTATTTCATCAACAGACCGATCAGCCAAGGCGAATACAATGGGAAAACCACACTTTTAAGTTAATTTAAGGCTCACAAATCATGATTTAGATCGCATCTCCATTTCAAGACTAGGTCAAAACCCTGAACAAGGTTGGTTACCACCCAAATGGCCTAAAAAGACATCAATTTAAATGACTCGCATTTAGAAGAGTGCGTTGGCTTTAATTTTTATCAAGGCTTAGAGGGGTGACTAGAGATTATTTATTGAGGCAAAAGGCACTTTTTAGCCGGAGTCGATGACTGCTCACCATCGCATTTGCGTGTAATAAATAAATAAACATTCCTCTCTCTCTCTCTCTTTACTTTCCAACAGGAAAACGTCGACACCTTGGCAGACGAGATCGCCCGACTAAAACGAGCCAACTCAGAGTTAAAAGATCTCGTTTCCTCACAACACTTGGAAGAAGCCACTCCTCAAAAACGTTGCCTTGTCCATTCCACTCCCTCTAAAAGTAACTAACACGAACACAACTCCAGCATCATCAGCGTATACCCC